GGCCTCACTCCTCCACCTCCATCCCCTCCTCATCCTCCTCCATCATCATCATCATCATCATCATCATCATCATCATCATCATCATCATCATCATCATCATCATCATCATCATCATCATGTTCATCATCATCACCATCAGCATCATCATCACCATCAGCATCATCATCATCATCATCAGCATCATCATCAGCCGCATCAGTATCAGCATCAGCATCATCGTCATCATCATCATCATCATCATCATCATCATCATCAGCAGCAGCAGCAGCAGCAGCACTCCTCCTCCTCCTCCTCGGCCTCACTCCTCTTCCTCCTCCTCATCCGCCTCCTCCTCCTCCTCCTCCGCCTCAGCCTCCTTCTCCTCCGCCGCCTCCTCCTCCGCCTCCTCCTCCGCCTCCTTCTCCTACTCCTACTCATTTTACGTGTACCGTAGCCGATTCGTCGTGACCTCCCTCTCTTGCTTGGCAGGTGCGGTCAGCGTCGAGTCGCCACATCGGAGCGGATCGGATGTGCAACGAATCAGGCCGCACCGACACGGAATCCTAACCGAATCTGATCAGTGCCGTGCAAGCATCGGGCCGCACCAGATCGTCAGAGCATCGGAATCGTCGTTGCATTGGTTTTGACAGGGACGGCGGGAGTACTGGCACGTTGCCTGCTGTGTGCAGAACCAGCAGACATCATGATGGCAAACCCGCCGCGAATGTTCCCACATCCTAAATCGGGTTTTTTGTCTTCTATGGACACCCCCCGCGCAGGAACCAACATCATCCAACCACCCTCACCCTCACCCTCACCCTCACCCTCACCCTCATCATCATCATCATCATCATCATCATCATCATCATCATCATCATCATCATCATCATCAGCAGCATCATCGTCATCGGCATCGTCATCGTCATCGTCATCATCGTCATCAGCATCAGCATCATCATCATCATCATCAGTATCATCATCATCATCAGCATCAGCAGCCGCATCAACATCAGCATCAGCAACAATAGCATCATCCTCATCAGCAGCATCAACAGCATCAGCATCATCATCAGCAGCGTGTGTATCATAATATTGGTATTCGTAGCATTCGTATCAGTATTCAGATTCGCCGTCACCTTCATCTTCGTCTTCATCACCAATAAGCATCCGCATCGCCATCATCAACTTCAGCATCGACTTCATCATCAACTTCATCCTCAGTATCATCATGAGCATCGTCGTCGTCATCGTCATCGTCATCGACATATTCAGACACTCACCACGCACACACAAACACACACACACACACACACACACACACACACACACACACACGCTCACACACTCTCACACACACACACACGCGCACACACACGCCTTCAGGAGGTCTCGAGCGAGAGCCTTGTCTGTGAGTGAATCGTGAGGAAGTCTCGGGCGGGGAGGGGGCCATCCCTATGCGGCACGCACTTCATGTTAGTAATCCGAGGCGGCCATCGTGATACGCTGTAACGTAAACTGTTGGTGGCACCTGGGAACCTGAATCCCGTGGAATTCTCGGGCGGGAGCCCTTCCACTATGGGGCCCGCATTTCATGTTACTAACCCGAGGCGGCCATCGGGATACCCTGTAAACACAAACGTTTGGTGACACCTGGAAGCCTGAATCCCAAGGAAGTCTCGAGCGGGAACCCCCTCCCTATTGGGCGCGCACTTCATGTTAGTAATTCGAGGCGACCATTGGGATACCCACTAAAAAACACAGGCTTGGTAATCTGGGAGCCTGAATCCCGACGAAGTCTCGGGCGGGAGACCCCTCCCTATGGGGCCCGCACTTCATGTTAGTAATCGGAGACGGTCATCGGGATACCTGTGGCACGTGGCAACCTGAACCTCGAGGAAGTCTCGAGCTGGAGACCAACAGGCCCTACGGTTCCCACAGGTCCCACAGTTCACACAGGGCCCACCTGTTTCAAAGGCCCCACAAGATACACAAGCCCCACAGGTCTCACCAGGCAGTCTCACAGGTCCCACCATTTCCACAGGTCGCACAGGACCCAAAGTCCCACAGGTGCCACAGGCCCCACAGATCCAGCAGGCCCCACAAGCCCTACAGAGGCACCGCAGGTCCAACAAATCCCGCACGTCCTACAGGGCTCGCAAATCCCACAAGTTCCACAGGCCGCACAAGTGCCACTGGCCCCACAAGTCTCACAGGTCCCCCAAGCCCCATAGGTCTTAGAGAAGTTACGGGGGGGGGGGCCACTGGTCCCACAGGGACCACAGGTCCCCCAGGTCGCACAGGCCTCAAAGGCCTCACAGGCCCCACAGGTCGCAGAGGCTCCGAAGTTCGTACAAGTCCCAGAGGTCGCACAAGTCCCACAGGCCCCGAAAGTCTCAGAGGCCCCACGGGCCTCATGGACACATCAGGCCGCAGGTAGCTCAAGATGTCATCCAAGATGGATGGCACAAGTTCTCCCAAAATGGCTCCAGGTGGCATCCCACATGCCATCAAGAGGCCACAAGGCCCTTCCAAGACGGCTCCGAGTGGCCACGGAGTCCATCAAGGATACCCCAAGATGGCAAAACCCTGCCAAACCATTTCTATGGAAACCAAATGGTTGTTGCATTATCGCCGTTTCGCTTTCAGTGGGCTGCTGTGCCCTCAAGATGGCTCCAAGATGGTCTAAGAGCGCCCAAGAGGGCTCCAAGGCAGCCCCACGAGCGTCCCAATGGCTCCACCAGAGGGCCAACGGAGGCTACTGTTCGGGCTCCAGGGACCACCCTTCCTAGATAGCTGTCCTCCAAGATGGCCCCAAGAGAGCCCGCAATGCCACAAAGACGGCCCCAAGAGACCACCAATAAGAGACCACCAAGGGGGCCAGTTGACTCCTGGGACTGCGCAGGCTGATCCCGAGCTTCGTGTTGACGGCTGCCCCCCTGTTTGTTCCACTAAGTGTTCCTACGCGTCACTGGTCAATGCAGTTCGCCTAGGCATTGGTTCTTGATGTGCTGGCCGGGGTAAACGAAGCGTCAAGAACTGATAATTCCCTCCCATCGTCCTGCTCCTCATCATGATCCGAATCATCATCATACTCCCCAGCGTGGCCAAAAGCGGGAGCATCATCACCACCACCACCATCACCACCATTGTTACCATCAACATCGCCATCGTCGTCGTCGACATCATCGTCATCAACATAATCATCAACAGTGTCATCAATATCATCAGCATCATCATGTTCGTGTTCTTCTTCATCCGTAACGGCAGCATCATCTTCAAAATCGCCATCAGCATCAGCAGCATCAGCAGCATCCTTATCAGCATCATCATCTTATTCGTCTTCCCCTTCATCATCATCAGCAGCATCCTCCGCATCAGCATCATCAGAATCATCATCTTCATCAACAGCATCATCGACATCATCCATATCATCATAAAAAATCGCCATCATCATCATGACCATCACCATGATCATCATCATCATCATCATCAGCATCATCATCATCATCATCATCATCATCATCATCATCATAAACACCAGCATCAGCATCATCACCGCCATCATCATCATCAGCATCATGTTCGTTTTCTTCTTCATTCGTAGCAGCAGCATCATCTTCAAAATCACCATCATCATCAGCAGCATCAGCAGCGTCCTTATCAGCATCATCATCAGATTCGTCTTCCCCTTCATCATCATCAGCAGCATCCTCAGCATCAGCATCATCAGCATCATCAGCTTCATCGGCATCTTCATCGTCATCGCCCTCGTCCTCCTCCTCAGCATCATCAGCATCATCATCGCCATCAGCATCATCAGCATCAGCATGATCAGCATCATCATCACCTGAATAATCATTATCATCATCATTGGCATCAGCATCATCATCATCAGCAGCAACATCATCGTTGTTGTCGCCATGACATCATCATCATCATCATCAGCATCATCACCATCATCACCATGATCACCATCATTATGTCCTCATCATCATAATCAGCAGCATAATCATCATCACCATCGTCGTCTTCGTCATCATCATCACCATCATCATCAGCCTCATCGTTATCTTCAACACCGTCATCATCGTCATCATTGGCATCGGCATCATCATCAGCAGCAACGTCATCATCATGGTCATCTGATCGTCGTCGTCGGCGCCGTCATCATCATCATCATCATCATCATCATCATCATCATCATCATCATCGTCATCGTCATCGTCATCGTAACCATCATCATAGAGTGGAAGCCCATGCCAAGAAACACCATGCTGGCCTCCACGGTGCAATGGGACTCTTGGGTTCGGATGTTTCTACGATGGAAAGCGTGAGGTCCCCATACAAAACATCAAATGGACATCCTGGGGTCTCAGGGTTGGGTTTCTTGTGGAAGGTTGCTTGTGGTCCAGCACATAATGAAATACATAAGCATCACCATCATCACCATCATCATCATCGTCATCGTCATCACCATCATCATCATCGTCTTCATCATCAGCATCATCATCAGCATCATCATCGTCATCATCCTCAGCACGGTCATCATGATCAGCAGCAGCAGCATCGTCATCATTGCCATCCTCATCCTGATCCTCATCCGGATCCTCATCCTCATCATCATCCTCATCAACATCACCACCATCAACATCATCATCATCAGCAGCAGCATTATCTCATCCTCATCCACATCAGCGAAACCATCATCACCATCTGCAGCATCATCTTCATCTTCATCTTCATCACCATCACCATCCCCATCGTCATCATCAGCAGCAGCAGAAGCAGCAGCAGCAGCACCAGCAGCAGCAGCATCAGCATCAGCACCCCTGTCCCTCCACAGCCCTCCTCACCCTCCTTCGTCCCTCCCGCCGCCTCCCCCCCCCACCCGCGCCCCGTCCTCCGGGCTCCCGCCCTTCCCGCCCCTCCCGGGCCGGGCAAGGAGCAGACGGGCGGGTGGCCCCCCACGGGCTGCTGCCCCGCCAGGGGGCCCTGGGCGAGGCGGCCACGAGCCCCCGGTCCTTGAGGTTCTGGGCGAGGACCTGGAAGTTCTGCAGAGACGCGGTCTCGGCCTCGCCGGGGGCGCAGGGCGGAAGGGGAGACCCCGCACGGCGCGCGCAGCGCGGGGGGTGGGGGGGGCGCAGGGGGGAGGGCCTTGCGGAGGCCGTCGAGCTGGGCGTTGGCCTGGCCGCGCGCAGGGGAGAACGAGGAGGAGGAGGAGGAGGAGGACGACGACGACGACGACGAAGGAGGAAGGACGAAGGAGGAAGGACGAAGCACGCGAAAGGGAGCGGAAGAGGAGGAGGCAGGAGGAGGAAAAAAGGGAGGAGAGGGGAGGAGAGGGGAGGAAACAGACCGAGGAGGGGGGAGAAGAAACTGGGAAGGAATGGAACGATCTGATTTGTTCACTACTGACGTTCTCCCTCGATCTCGGCCACTGGGGCCCGTTTCCGGACCGTGGGGCCATCCAAAAACGGATCTGGGGCGAAACTCTGGCCCGTGGGAAGAGGTCGGGACCCGTGGGGCTGGGCATTGAAAATCAGACTGGCGGATGTCAGACGAGGGAAACGAAGAGAAGAAAGAGGAGGACGGAGAAGGAAACGAAGCCCCGAAGGAGTAGGTGACTAGGAAGGGGGAGGATGAAGGAAGGAGGGAACAGGCGGGAGGAGAAGGAGCAGGAGGGGGCAAGAGGAGGAGGAGGCAAGAGGAGGAGGATACGGAGAAGGGGAGTGAGGAGGGAGGGAGGAGGGAACGAGAGAAGCAGGAGGAAGAAGGAGGGAGGGAGGGACGGAGGTGGACTAGGAGGCAGGAAGAGGCGGAGGACGCGCACGGGCGCGCCCTCGGGCTGGCGAGGAAAAATGTGCCGGCCCCGTGCCCGTCGCGTCAGCGACCGGCCTTCACCTCACTACAACGTATCCATTATCAGTGTCACGGCAGCCCGCCATCAGCCACATTGGCATCATCAATAACATCATAAAAAATCCTCACCATCATCATCATCATCATCATCATCATCATCATCATCAGCATCAGCATCATCAGCATCAGCATCATAAGGAGCAGCAACATCGCATGAGCATCAGCATTATCGCGTGCATCTCATCACCATCACCAACAACCTCATCACAATAGTCATCATCAAAAATCATCAAGACGCCCATCAGCATCATCATCATCATCATCATCAGCAGCAGCATCATCACCGTCATCAGCATCATCACCACCATCGTCATCAGCATCGTCATCACCATCACCAGCAGCATCACCATCACCACCCCCATTATCACCATCATCATCACCACGATCAGAATCGTCAACATTACAACGTTAATCATCATCATCAGCATCACCACAATCACCATCGTCATCATCAGCAGCAACTGCAGCAGCAACCATATCATCATCAGCACCATCATCGTCGTCGCTACCAGCATCATCATCATCACCAGCAGCACCACCACAACACCAACACCATCATCTCATCATTAGCATCACCATCAGCATCCACATCATCAACATCATTATCATCAGCAGCCGCAATAACATCACCGTCTTAACCATCCATCGGAAGCATCATCACGACCATCGTAAACCTCATCCTCATCATCATCACCATTGCCATCACCATCATCATAAGGAGCAGCAACATCGCATGAGCATCAGCATTATCGCGTGCATCGCATCACCATCACCAACAACCTCATCACAATAGTCATCATCAAAAATCATCAAGACGCCCATCAGCATCATCATCATCATCATCATCATCATCACCATCATGGTCAGCATAATCAGATTCATCAGCATCAACGTCGCGAGCATCCGCATCAGCATCGTCCTCATCATCAGTTTCATCGTCGTCAACATCATCCCGATCAGCATAAACATGAACAGCATCAACACCCCCACAATCATCCCCCTCATCACGATCACCATTGCCATCGTCGTCATGGTCCTCATCATCATCTTCCGAAGCTTTGGTTCAGAGCGGTGTCAAGGCTCCCTCCAGAGGTGCTGCAGGAAGGCCGAAGGCCACTTGGCGTCAGTCACTGGTGTCCCCCAGCGGGACCACGGAAAGGCCCCCCTAACGGGGTAGCGACACACATCCAAAACTTTAAATTGTTTCGCGCGCGTCTGACTTAGCTTCGTTCGTCCTAAATCTGTTCTGGGATTGTTTTCCAGTTCCAGTTATGAACTCGGGGCGCACGGGGAATTATTGTCTTTGCGCTTAAAGGTCCCAGCAAAGAAATTTAACAATGCAAAGAACGAGTCATTTGCGCTTTGCGTTTTTAGCTGCGAATTCCTGGCGTTTTCAGATCAATTGATTGCGTTGTCTAATATCGCCGTCTACAGCGTCCTCAGTTCTTTTTCCGGGCGTGTACTCCTCCCTACAATATGTTCATTGTTGCGTTCGTTGTGTGTTTCTCCGGCCGTCGCTGCTGGATGGTCGCGGGGCATCCAGGCTTGTTTCGCGCCAGTGTTAGACCGACGCTAGGGCGTTGCGTTTGCGTGTTCAGCTCTGCGCGCGGAGCGGAGGAACGGGGGGCAGCAGGAGCGGGGGAGCGGGAGCGAAGACGGCAGGGAACACAAGGAGCAGGCTTCGGCAAGAAATCAACAATCGCTACTGACATGATGCTCCACAGCGACGAGCCGAACAAGATACTACAACAACAAAAACAACAACAACAACAACAACAACAACAACAACAACAACAACAACAACAACAACAATCGTTATAAGACTGTTCGCTCTTACTTGCCCGCGTGTCATTCAAAACGAGATCCCACACCTTCGATACCCGCCCTTTTTGTCTTCGATCACACCCGCTTTGGGGGGATTATTTCTCTTAGCGAGGGGCGGCGGGCTTAGACAGGCGGGCAAACCTGAACGGGCGAACAGTCCTTCATGGGCGTACATGTGCACGCCATTGGAATTGGTGTGGGCCCTGCAAAACGAAGAGGGGGAGAACGAGGGAGAGTGGGAGGAAGGGAGGGGGAGGGACGAAGGAAGAGCGAAAGCGCCAGGAGAGAAGGAACGAAGAGGGGGGCGGTTGATTGGAGACAGAGAGAAAGAGAGGGGGGACAAAAAACAGATAAGATAGGTAGAGAAAGACAGAGAGGGAGGGGAGAGAGAGTAAGAAAGAGCGAGGGAGGAGGCAGGAGAGGGGAGGGAGAAGGGAGGAGGGAGGAGGGAGAGAGGATCGGGCAGAGAGGCATAAGGATGAGGGAAGAGAGGAGGGAGAGAGAAGGGAGGAGAGGAAGGAGGAGGGAGGAGGGAGAGGGAGGAGGATCAGGAAGGTAAGAGCGTGAACGTTCGAGGAAGTCCTAGGCGAAAGCGCCGTTCCTGAAGGAAATCTCGGGCGGGAGCCCACGACGTGCGGGAGATCCCCTGACAGGCGGGTCGGGCGGGTGGGACATTCAAGCAGGATGCCTGAGTATGGCGAGAGCGCGATTACTAAGTCAATTGTAACGGCGTCCTTCGCGCAGCGTGTTTCCTGAAAGTCGAAAGCGCGATTTCTGAGCAAATTGCATGGAGGTCACAGTCGAGAACGCAATTCCTGAATAAAATGTGACGGGTTCTCTGGCGGGAGCGGGGGTCTTGATTAAATTGCGAGGAAGTCTTGATTCAATTGCGAGGAAGTCTCAAGCGGGAGCGCCGTTCCTGAGTAAATTGCGAGCAAGTCTCAGATGGGAGCGGGGGTCCTCACTAAATTGCGAAGAAATCACAGGCGGGAGCACCGATCCTGAGTAAATTGTGGGGAAGTCTCAAGAGCGGGGGTCCTGAGTAAATTTTGAGGACGTCTCAGGCGGGAGCCGAGCCGTTGTTGTTGTAATCCGGGGGGCCAGGGGCCCAGTTTGAGCACCAAGACTTTCCCTGTCAAAAAACAAGGTGCGAGCGTCGAAAGGCACACTTTGATTGAGAAAAAACCGTATGCACCGGTGAGGGGGGATCAATAAGAAATACTCTTCAGAAATGAGACTTCAACAACAACGACAACAACAACAACAACAACAACAACAACAACAACCACAACAACAACAACAACGCAGCGCGTTCGTTGTGCATGTAGCTTGCCAAGAGCCCGAACCACACAACGGTAGAAAAACGCCCAAGACGCTTTTGGGGTGAACCAAATAGTTTATCCCAGGAGCACACTTTGGATCGCCCGTGTTCTGTTCGCGTTCCCCCTGTCCCCTCCTCCACCGCCTACCTTTCCTCCCCCACCTCCATCCTCATCCTCCTCCTCCTCCTCCTTCTTCGTATTAATATTATTATTCTTCTTATTCTTCTTCTCATGATTATTCTTATTACTGTTATTATTATTCATCTTCTTATGATTAGTCTTCGTATTATTATTCATATTCTTCTTCTTCGTATTACTATTATTCTTCTTATTATTCTTATTAGTATTCTAATTATTATTATTCTTATTAGTCTTATTACTAGTATTATTACTCTTATTCGACTTATTATTATTATGTTTCTTATTCTTCTGCTTATTATTACTATTTTTATTATTACTAATACGTTTAGTATTAGTCTTTTTATTCCGATTATTATTCTTCGTAGTAGTATTCTTAGTATTAATAATATGTACTTACTAATACTGTTACCCTGTGTATTCTTATCATCCGTAATATGATTATCAGCATTACTACAATCACTATTGCCATTCATACTACTTCTATTTTGACTAGTACTATTATTATCCTTATCAGCATCTTCATCATCATCATCATCATCATCATCATCATCATCATCCTCTTCCTCCTCCTCCTGATCCTCCTCTTCCTCCACCTCCTCCTCCTCCTCCGCCTCCTCATCCTCCGCCTCCCCTTCCTCCTCCTCATCATCATCATAAGCAGCATCATCATCCTCATCAAAATCCTCAACCTCCTCCGCCTCCTCCGCCTCCTCCTCCTCCGCCTCTTCAACCTCCTCTTCCTCCTCCTCCTCTTCCTCCTCCTCCTCCTCCCCCTCCTCCTCCTCCTCCTCCTCCTCCTCCTCCGCCTCCTCCTCCTCCTCCTCCTCCTCCTCCTCCTCTCCTCTCCTCCTCCTCCTTTCCCTCCCTCCTCCTCCCAATCCTCCAAACCCTCCAATCCTCCAAATCCTCCAAATCCTCCAAATCCTCGTCCTCCTCCTCCTCCTCCTCCTCCACCTCCCACTCCTCCTCCCCATCATCCTCCCCCTCTTCCTCCCCCTCCTCCTCAAAGTCAGGAAAGATGGTCCAGCAAGCGGGGCACACGGGACTACAGAGCAGGAGAAAAGAAAGGAAGGAGACACTGTCCTCCACAAAACTCTCTCGCTGCTGTTCCTCCTCACGCCCCGCCTAGACCTCCGCGGCCGACGGCAGCTCGTTGGCGTCGTCGGTCCGACGCGAGGGGGCGGAGTGAGGAGGAGGGGTAAGGGGTCCCAGAGCTGCCTTGCCATGCACAGAGGCCAGTCAAGCTGGAGGCTGGGGCTCGGTGGAAACTTTAAGCTGGAAGCCACACAAGCTGGAGGCCAGCCAAACCCAATACTCATTTGGACCCCTTACCTGGACTGTCACATGGCGGACTTGGCCTTCGCCGTCATGGCGCATGTGGGGAACTGGGAGCAGGGCTAGAAGGACCTGGGGCAAAGGAAAGATTCAAGGAGGGAAGAAGGGAGAGTTTCTTGGCCTCTGCTCCAAGGACAACCTGCTCCTCTTGAGAATCTCGATCTCCATCATGAGCTCTCAATTCGAAGTATTGAGCTCTACGAATTTCTGCCTGAATCTACAGTCTCCTGCAACTGATCTTCTCAGCCTCTGAAGGATCGTTTGCTTGTGAGACGGGACCAGGAACTCGAACTGCGCTGCGGGAGCTAGGGGTTGGCACAGCAGTCCTCCTCCTCCTCCTCCTCCTCCTCCTCCTCCTCTTCCTCCTCCTCCTCCTCCTCCTCCTCCTCCTCTTCCTCCTCCTCCTCCTCCTCCTCCTCCTCCTCCTCCTCCTCCTCCTCCTCCTCCTCCTCCTCCTCCCCCTCACCCGTCCTCACCCAGGCCCCCTCCTTCCCTCTCTCTCTCTGATGTGTTTCTCCTGAGCTGCTCTTTCACCAACGAAGGGGCGGGGGGGGGAGAAGGGGCGCTCCTTCTCCGAGAGGTCCTTCAAGACCTGGATGATGCCGCCGTCCTGCGGAGAGAAGAAGAGAAGACGACAAGGCGGAGGCGGATGAGAAGAGATGAGGATGAGGAGAAAGAGGATGAGGAGAAAGAGGAGGAGGAGGAGGAGGAGGAAGAGGAGCAAGAGAGTCGAGGAGGATAAAAAAGGAGGAAGAGGAACGAGGAGAAGGACCGAGAAGGAGCAGGAGGCACGAGGAAGAGGAAGAGGACGAGAGAAGAGGAGGAAGAGATAGGAGGAGGGGGTGAGGCGAGAAGGGGGACGGGAAGAGGGCATGCATGAATTCGCTCAAGTTTTTACGAGGCTCCACCTAGTGTGATCTTGAAGGGGAGAGGAAAGAGAACGAGGGGGAAAACAACGATACTGTTTAGGAAGGGGAGGCAGGAGGGAGCAGGCGGGAGGAAGGAGGGAGAAGGGAGGAAGGAGGAAGGGAGGAAGAGGCGGAGGACAAGAATGAGGACGAGGACGAGGGGAAGGAAACTTACGATCAAGAGGGAGGGGGGCGGAGGCAGAAGGCGGGAGGCAGGAGAGTTGAGGCTCGCGCTGAGGGGTCTTTACCTGCGCTATAAGTTGTTGTCCCTGCGCGCCGGACGCCGACCCCCTCTCCTTATCCCACCCTCCTCCTGCTTCTACTGATCCCAGCACGGGCCCTCGTCCCTCCACCGCATCCTCATCCTCCTTAACCTCCGCATCCACCTCCCTTACCTCATCCATCCATCCCTCCTCCGCTTCCACCTCCCACACTGCTCACTACTTGGCGGCATAGCCCAGCTTTTTGCAAATACTCTGCACTATGCCAGCCAAGAAGGAAGAAGAATGGAGGAGGGAGGAAGAGAAGCAAAAGGGAGTAGGATGAAAAGAACAGAAGATATAGAGGAGGATAAGAAGGAGGAGGAGGAGGAGCAGCAGCGGCAGAAGGGAGGAGTAAGGAAGAGGGGGAAAAGTGAGAGCAAGAAGGAGCTGGAGACGGGAGGAGAAACGAAGAGGATAAACGAGAGACGAGGGAGGATGAGGAAGAGAGGGGAGAGAGATGACGACGACGACGAAGACGACGACGACCACCACCACCACCACGACGACGACGACGACGACGACGACGCCGACAACGACGACGACATCCAACTGCCTCTGGAGGTCTTCGGAGGATGCAGGACGTCTTCCGAGGTCCCAGGAGGCCTCCCGAGGCCCACAGCAACAAACGCTCAAAGCGCAGAAGAAAGGCTTGAACCTCGAACCGCGATCCTCCGTCCTTGGAACTCGAAAACCTCGAACCCCCATGCCCGAACCGTTCAAGCCCCTCGTCCTCCATCCTCGATCTTCGACCCTGAATCATCAAAGCCCGCGGCCTCCATCCTCGGACCCAGGATCAGTCAGCACCGAATCGGGAAATCGGATCGGGTATTGCCTCGAATCGCGTCGGCACGAACTCGAAATCGGATCGGATCGACCGCGCCAGGGTGCACGACGTGCCACGCAAGCAGTAGGCCGTATCGACACGTCGGAGCATCGGAATCGAACCTGATCGGGCAGGCCAGGAGGAGGAGGAGCAGGAGGAGGAGGGAGGAGCAGGAGGAGGAAGGAGGAGGTGGAGCAGGAGAAGCAGGAGGAGGAGGAGGAGGAAGAGGAGGAGGAGGAAGAGAGAGGAGGAGGAGGAGGAGGAGGAGGAGGAGGAGGACGAGGAGGAGGAGGAGGAGGAGGAGGAGGTAGATATCGAACCTGATCGCTCGGAGCGAAGTGACCCTGCAAAAGCCTAGATCCAGAGGGGAAAACGTTAGGGGGGGCGGCTCAGGCAGGAAAGTTCGGCCTGTCATCGGCGATGCATCGCCGACAGATCGATCGACGACAAGCCCCCGAGAGCAGATCCGCACGCTCATGGGCGGAGTAGGTTCTCGGGCTATCCCAACTAAGCCTATGCCCCCCCCCCATCGTCGAGGCCTATCCCACTAAGCCTATCCCATTAAGCCTATCCCAACTAAGCCTATCCCACTAAGCCTATCCCACTATGTTCTCAGGCTATCCCCACTAAGCCTATCCCAACTAAGCCTATGCCCATGAGATCCCCCACCCTGCATCATAGAGGCCCTCGAACCTCCATCCTCCGCCCCTTTGAACTCGGAGACCGTAAGGCCCCGGTCCTCGAACATCGATCCTGCATCCTCGATCCCGCATCCTCGATCCTCGACCCGCGATCCTCGATCCCCGAACCTCGGTCCCCGAACCTCGGTCCTCGAACCTCCATCCTCGATCCTCCACCCCGCATTCTCGACCCTCCCCCCTCGAACCTCGCTCCTCCGTCCACGATCCTCGACCCTCCGCCCCCAGGCCTCGGTCCTCCGCCCTCGACCCCCCAGCCTCGGTCCTCCGCCCTCGACCCTCCAGCCTCCGCCCCCGAGCCTCCGTCCCCGAGCCTCCGCCCCCGAACCTCCAAACCCTGCACCCTCGACGCCCCCCCCGCGGCCGCGGCGGCGGCGTGCGCGCGCGGCGCGCGCGCGCCCCGCGCCTGCTGGCGGCCCATGCCGTCCGCGTGGCCCTGGGGGGCTGCGCGGGGGCGCGAGGCCCACCAAAGGGTGCGCCGCCGGCCGGCCGGGCCTCGCCGCCGCGGGGCCTCGCCGCCGCCGCCGCCGCGCTCGCGGCCTCGCCGAGGGGGCCGTCGCCGTCGTCGTCGAGGGCGGCCGCCGCCGCCGCAGCCGTCGTGGTCGTGCCCTGTGGTCCTGCTCGTCGTCGTCGTCGTACTCCCTCATCGCCTCTCCTCCCTTCTCCCTCCCCCTCCCTCTCCCTTCCTCGTCGTTCTCCCTCCCTCCGACCGCCTCTCCCTCTCTCTCCCTCTTGCGGATGGGGCACCGCATCCGACCAACGCCAGGCGCGACGACCGTTGCTTAGAGCGTTCAGCGGAGCGCCAGACGAGCGACGGGGCGGGGAAGGTTGAGCCCGCCCGCCTCCAAGCAACGCAATAAGGCATGTCGCATACCCCTCGTCTGGCACACAGCACAGATTGGACGATTTCCCCCCCTCTCTCCGAGCGGTCCCAGGAGGGGCACTACAAAGGTACTCCACTACGGAGGAAAAGAAACTGATGGCCATGATCAAGACTGAACGCGGAAACTTGGCCACCGCCCATCATGGTCAACGTCGATTCGTGGATCATCCTCGCGAATCGGCGACGCGACGGCTTGCATAGACCATGACCCAGATGGACCGACAATATTCAGCGACGTCTGGTCATTGACATCTGAGCATCGTTTCACCGATCCCTATCCCCACTGGCGTGGCCTGGGCCCGACTGGCCGATTTACCCCCCTGGATAGGGATATAGGCTGCTCCCTTCGGGCTTCGGGGGGCATATCCCCAGCTGGGGTGGTGGGATGGAGGGGATCGGGATGGGGATGGGGACGGGGATCGATGAAACGATACTGATCATCATCCGTCCTCCCCCGCCGCTATCGAGAGCAAGGCAGAGGGCTCTGGCGCGCCTCCGTGCTGAGGCTGCCTGGCGGGCCTGACCCCCCCCCCCTCCCCCTCCCCCTTGCCCCGCAGGCGTGGCCACCCCGCGGGCACTCGTGGTCCCTGGGCCCTCCTCGGGAAGCCTCGGGAGTCATGGGGGAGGGCCCTGGCACGTTCCGCGGCAGTGGTGAGGATCTCATGACGACCTCCGAGGTAATCCTGAGCATCCCCTCGGGTACTCCATGTACCGGCTTCCGCGCGCGCTGAGAATTGTCTCGGGATGTCCCCCGCACTCCTGGGTCCGGGGGGCCCGCGGAGCCGACGGGAGAGCGCGCCTGTTGGCGAAGAAACACAAGGGCGGTGCTGCCGTCCGCCCGGGCGGCGCGCGGCCAAGTCGGCGCACAGCCGAGCGCCGCGCCGCCGCCGCCGCCTCCCCGCTGG